ACTGTTTCAAATAAATGTGAAAATCTGATAAATTATACGACTAAAATGAAGATCATATTGGGTACTAAATCAACTGAAAAAACTTCTTGATAATTACGAAATTCCCGTGACATTTTCATCTTACTTATAAAAACTTTCTCTTTCAGTAACATCACTTAGGTTTTGAGAAAAAATAAAACTTTTTGACATAACTAAATTATTGTGACTCGAAATAGATTGTAGTCATGATAAATATGGTCTATCTATAATTGGCCTTAACTGGTTATGTGGAGATTTGATTAAGTAACACAGCGTCGAATCAAATGTGAACAAGTTCAACCCTGTCTAGAAAGAGAAAGTTTTCTCAAAGATAGCAAGTGTATAAACAATCAGGTTAGCACAATATTAAGAGCACACTTATACACCGGAATAGATGTACCGAAAGGTGTTTAAACCTATCGTTTCCATTTATTCAAAGATACCAACTAGTTTTAATAGTAACAGAGTGTTAAATAATTTCTGCGCATAAACACGTATTAGTTACAGCAAAACACACAATATTTTCATCCATTTATTTATTGCTGTCAAACTCATTCATTCTATGAGTGCAGTATTGATCAATCTGTTCACAGATTTACCAATCAAATGGTTGCACGTTATTATTTTTAGTTCTAATTTCTTTCTATTATTCAAATTTCTAGTCTAATGGTGTTAATCCTCTTAAACTTTAGTAAAATTAAAAAAATATCATATAATGTATACGAGTTTGAATGACTTAGACACATGCTACCCTTTTCTCTAATGGGCGAACTCTGATTGTTTTGTATTTCACACAACTTTTTCCATTCATAAAATATAGTAACAAGTATTTGTTCTTTGTTTATTCATAATTTATAATTCAAGGATATGTTATTTGCAAGTATTTAACTTTCAATCATTCAATCTTTCACATCAGTATATAACAATGTGAAATAGTGAATAAATTGCATAAGAATTACAGAAACTATATTTTAGTGATGACCTAGGTGCAGTTGCTGTGATTCAATGCAACATCCATAGAATTTGCTTTAATATAGTGTAACTGAAAGTTAAAATGAAATATTTTCAATACATCAGTGACCTGAATATAGTAAGAATACGCAACCCAATAAGCTCTTATATACAATTAATTGTATTATTACTTCTGATTCAACGACTAACTGTATCAAGTAATTCAAAAAAATATTGATCCTATTATCATATAAGGTGTAGTACGTTTGATCATACGATATTATATAAAAAACATAAACTGACAAACTTTTTCAAATGTTAATTAGTTGCGAAAAAATCTGCAAGTATAATATTTAGTGTCGATATCGTTAATCTGGTAAAACATATTTATCTATCAAGACTTTTTGTCCAAAATGTATGCTAGGAGTAAATGCGACTATTGAAACCTGTTCAAACAACACATTTTCCACTGTCACATCAATAATGAATGAAAATATAGCTAGGAATGTGTAAAAATGAATATGTTTGACCTAACATATTGATTAACTTTCCCTATAATATTCTAAACAGAAACAATTCCCTCCAAGTGAAACAACGATTTTACTAATCCTTTCTGTATCAAAATTGTTAAACTTGTTACTCATTCCGGTAACCTCAAAATAAATAATGTTTGTAAATTCAATGTTAAATTTAGTTCGAAAAAGCACAAAAAGCGATTTCTAGACTAAGAAGTTGAGTTTTACTGAAATCACAATTACCAATATTTGAGTTGATAATTTCAAATATATAAGGAGTTAGGTAAATTGTTCATAATAAAATTTTTATATTTGTAGTATCCCAATAAAAAGAAAAGGTAAAATTTTTCTGACATTTCGTGACTCCAGTGTAGGTCACTTCATCAAAAAAGATTCAATTGCTCTACCTATTAATATATTACAGATATGTTATTTCTGATTGTTTAAACTAATCAAAATTCATTCGAATCAATGACCTCATTCTAATTATGTTCGTTTATTCAGTGAAATGAATAACTTAAAATCATGAATTAATCAATGATAGACCACTCTTTGTAACCTGAAAGCACTGGAAGGCCATTCCCTTTTGGAATGGGGCTCGTCAGCAGTGCACATCCTAGATCCAGGCAAGTGGGAATCGAATTTAGGACCTTCACTATCATGCATGAGCTCTTAACCTAAAGATGCGACCATCGGAACTCTAATGAGAAGCCGTGATTTGTGGAGCCAACCCTATCGATTTTAGGCAGTTAACTACCAAACACAACGGATGGAGTTACACAATATCTTGTTTTGATTTATGTTGGACGTTAACCCTTCTGGGTATCGACTCGGTGATCTAGAGGTTAAGCGTTTGCGCATGAGACTGAAGGTTCTGGGTTGGATTCCTGTGAGTGAGGACTAAGGATATGCACTGCATAGGAGTCGTTTACCATAATGGAACGGCCGTCCAGTGCTTCCAGGTTCTAAATGGTGGTCTAACACGGACTGATTCATGATTTCAAGGTAACTAACACTTGTCCACAAAATAACACGTATGAACCACATTACTGAGTAGCTAATTTAGTGTACTATTCATTATCGTTGTTAACAACATATTCTTTAACTTTTATATGAGTGGCCAATGAATTTTTTTAAATTTAATTAAGTTATTGACTTGGACCAGTATTTTATTCGACCATCTGAAAATCTTAAATCATTCAAACATATCTATTTTATACTTGACTATGGAAGCAAATCACGATGGGCAGATCCTAAATGATTGAATGTACATCTAACTTCACTTACCTTATATTTATTTTATAACTGACTTAGCAAGTAATTTGTTATGTAAAAAGGTTTCATAATGAAACCTAGTTAACATTTTTAGATTTGCACACTATGTAGCATTTTGATTTCAGTAAATTTAACAATTTAACAATTAAAATTACCGAGTACGTGTGTCCTAATTTCTATATAAATACTAGAAAAAATTTAAAGCTAGTTATTATAAGCAATTTTTCAACAATATGATGTCATTTAAAATTGAAATAGGTTAATGATGATGTAACATGACATCATTCAGCCGACTAATTTATCAGTGAACAATTGAAAACCTAGAACATATGTTGATCAGCTCTAGTTTCTTTGCTTGACAGCGTTACAACAAGATTAAAAGAAAATAAATCAAAAATGATGCTAGGACTAGTTGTAGAGAAAAAAAGGACTGATAATACCGTATACAATGAAATTTGTCAACATAAATTTCCTGGCTAGTTTATGCGTTACGACTAATTTACATAATTTAAGGTAACATCAAGGTTTGTAAAATTAGTTTAAACAAGGTAAGAATTAGGTAACTAGTGCAAACAAGAAAAATAAATCTATTTTTACTCGAAATTATCACGTCTTAGAAGGCTTGTTATTCTACTAATGTAAAGTAAATATTTACACTAATAGTAGCTTTTGCTGAAATCAATATTGATGTTATCGCGCGAAATGTCATGAACATAGAATATTTTTACCGGACTACTCATAAATTTAAACATTACGGACGAAATTTCGTGACTGTGAAGTTAAATTTCGTTCAACCTCAATCTAAGTTGCTTATTTACAATTCGTCTCAACGTCATTTTGTTGATGAAAATAATTTTTTACATAATATCACAGTTTCAAAGAATTCATGTGTTGTTCTAATTCGTCATTTCTTCAATAGCTTAAAGACAGAATCAATTTAATTATATCTGTATTTTGTAGTCACAAATTTTGCTATTGGTTTTTTAAATTCTTTTGAGCAATTTACCAGTTAAAGTATGTCTTTCAAAAATTTACTCAGTTTTTTATGTCATATGTTAGTTTAAAAAAAATGATAAGGAACTTTAGAGGAAATTTAATTCACTCTGTTTTTTTTTAATTCCTACAATGTTAGAGCTCTTCGATAATCCATTTTGTATTAAAAGGCAACACAGTGACGTGTCAATGTTTTCGTGAAGAATCAAGAATCAACTATCTGTTCTTCTACTGGAATTAAGAATTTTCTTGCACTATTACTTAGCATTGTGTTAGCATCGTAATCAATAGGTTGTGTGATAGAGATATTCAATAGTTTTAACACAGTTGTGATAATCCATAGTAAGAAATTTTTAATTTCAACTGTTCCTAGCGAAATTTTCATGAAACTTTCGATTACTTGATATCTGATATTTAAATATTCCAGTAAACTATTCATCAGGATGTGAATAAGAATAAGATCATTTTTATTTTTCTCAACATATTTACTGATGTCATCTTAAGGTTTTTTCATCAACAACCTGAGCTTCAGAGGAATTTACTTCATGCATGTTAACACATACTATCCTAAAACTACAAATCCCTCGGAAATTAGGAACAACTTTGATACAACAGACTACATTTTGAAACTTATTGTTTGAAATTTGTTTGAATTATAATGAAGGATTGTTGTTTATAAAATCAATCCAGATTCATAACAGATCAGTATTCTGCATCAAAATCACTTAAAAAGTAATGGAATACTAATCTATACATAATACTGAAATACAATCAAGCAAAATTAGGTAGTAAATAAAACTAAAATTATGAATCACTGCAATGAGATCAAATAGTCTTTAGGTTTGAGCCTAATATGCGGTTTTAAGTGACTAATTCGGAAAATTGTCAACATACGATAAAGAGTTTTTTATTGCTTTCCATCCTTTTATCGGTTTGCCAGCTGATATTGTTTCATAACGGAAAATTTAATCCCTTAATAATTATTAAATGAAAAATGTATAATATATATACTTTGTATTAGTAGAACTATATTATAGTTATTTTTCATCTAATCAGTGATACCAATAAAGATAAGCAAATAGCTTTTATATCTTTTAAATGACATTTCCAGTGGCATTTCCTTAGTTTCATAATCGTTTGGAAATGCATGTATTTCATTCTAATCTCTGACAGTGAATTAAATCAACCAGAAATAACCAGCTAGAATCGATCTCAGTAAATCGAAATGCAATGAAGTAATTTCCTTACCAGAGGAGACGATACTTCAAATTCTTCCATATGTTTATTTTTATTTAACAATTGATTTTCATCAAATGATAGTTGACTTTTTTGTTCAGGTAAACTGATTGCACATTCAGATTTTAAATCAAACGGTGTAAACAACGATAAGCAAACACTTCGACTATTTCTATGTTTATATAATGATGTAATATTTTGCAAACTACTACTGCCATTGCTATAAAGTTTATTCGATGATAATAATGTAAATGATTTTGACAAATGTCTAGTTTTGTTTTTGCCAACCGATGGTTGTTCAGATTTACGCACTAACATTTGACTACATGTTTGAATTCTAATTTGATCAGTTGATTGCATTTGATGTGAACATTCTGAATTATATAAAAAATATGTTTCATTCAAATTCGGTAAAGATAAATATGACAATAAACGATATTCATCAGATTGATCTTCATGAAATATGTCAAATGATTTACTTCCAAATTGTAACATTTTATTACTTTGTTATTTTGTAATTCATTGAATTCTATCAAATAATTGAATCCTAATGAAACTTGATAGTTGTTTAATGTTCAATAATTTAATGACAAAAAAGAAGGTCATCAATTGATGATTGAATTCCTTTTTATGAATTCGTTCAATAATTTAAACAGAATCCAATGTCATTAATTTACAGTAGTCGGTAACCGGATTAAACAATTATGTTATATTTTGATTGGTCTGTTCTAATTAGCCAGTTATATTATTAATGGGAAATATGAAAATTATTATTATTATTATTTAATGAACAAATAGATTAATCGAAATGATTTTTGTATATAAACAAAAACAATTTAAAACAAAACAATATATATATATATAATTTGTTCAATAATAAATTTCGAAATAGACAACAAATTTATTGAACATAATCATTTGACTAAATTTCGTCTAATTCTTACAAATTAAGTTTATATTTCATAAATTTCATCGTAAACCCTTTTTATTCTATCCATGAAAGCATCATTCAAATAGTATTTCATATTTTTATATACTTTTGACATTTTTTTCAAAAAAAGATTAATGGGAATTTGGAAAAGTGATTTATTGTGATGTTTTTAGCATTCCAATGTAAATATTTATTCGTTTTACTTGATCAACAAGTTATATGTTTACAAAATTTCTTTGATTATTACGCTGATTGTTTTAATGTAGTCAGCATCAGTGTTCTGCGTTTGAATTGAGACAAAAATTTTCCAAAAGTAAACAATCAGTTACTGTTATATGATAAAAGAAGAAAAAAGAACACTATTAGGTGTCTAATCTTAGAAAATGTTTTCTATGAAGCAGAAGAAGAATTTTAATAATAACAGTTCATTGTTTTAATTATTATATCTGTGATTAAAGATGTGTTATTATTTGAAATGAACAGTAATTACTCCAATTATGTATTCACTCCTTACAATTTTGATCGCGAATCAGAATATTCCGTCATATACACCATTTCATCTGGTTTCCTTGAATTATGCCTTGAATGTTTGGTCTTGCACATTATCATGATTACTATACTATTTCGATCACTATTACTATATATCTTGTTTATTTTATCTCTCTGTTAATATGGTGTGTGAGTTTGAGGGCACTGTCATACTCTACGTTGATGATGATGACTGATTAACTGAGTAATTATAATTTTTGAATGCTTTCTGGGATAGAAACAATTTAAAAACATTGTTGATTTGATGTACTTTAAAATTATTATTTTATTCTGTTATGTAGAAACTATCAGAAATAATGTGAATAATTTTCCTGAGCTATTGTCTCAATGTTAGACAACCATCTCAAGTATAAACGTGATACCATTTTTTTTATACATATAATACTATTAAGAAGTTCAATATATCTCTAATCACAAGATTTCCTAGGGACATATTCATCAGTTAGACGGTTATTCATTGTGAAAAAAAATGCTAGCAATACATTCTGAGACATTTTAACGCCTAGCAGTGAGCTTTTTTTTGTCTAGTCTATAAAAAGCAAAAGAAAAAACTTCTTATCGATTTTTTAAGGACTAATATTTCTAAGATACATCTGAAACAATGTTTCAGCATATCTCCTAGTGTTTCATTGAAATCTCTGCTGTTATCAATATTATGCAGCAACATTAAGTGATAGAATATGACACATATTTTAATAACAACATAACACATAAATAAAATACAGAGATAACAATTCCAAAACTACTACCAACTACTTAAATTATCATGATCTAACTTTCAAACTTCATGATGCTTGATGTTTTGTTAACTATAAAAGCTTAGAATAGCTTCCATAACTTTATGCGATGTACAAAAATCTTGCATAATCTATATTTCTCTATTTTCATTCTAATTACATAATATGATTTGTACAAACTTATTAATATTTATAAATTCAAGTTACTAAAATAATATTCATTCATATAACAGGTGTTTATTCGTTTTTTTTTTGCTTGAAATTTTATTTTACCAAATGTTTTAACATTTCTGCAAGAAGTATTCAATAAACAATAATCTTGATTCATTAAATCTAACATTTTACCAACATCTTAATAAAACCAAAGTACTTTTTCTAGGGTGAAATTTAGGATTTCTGTTTGAAATTTACTTTATTTCTAACATTTTGTTTCCTGCTAAGTTATTCATCAACAGATTGATTTTCACTTAGATTTTCAAAAAAAAGGGTTACCAGTTTCTGATAATATATGATTCTAAGAAAAAGTTGATAAATTTGCATTAATTTGTGTTTGAAAATCAAAATCAATATTTACATGAACTGTATTGATAAATTCATCTGTTATTTCTACAAGCTCTCATTTATAAAAATAACGTAAGTGATTATATTTATATTAAACCTTACAGTTTGTTTAGTTTGACCTACGGTAACTAATAATCACAAACGATTAGAATTCTTTTATTACGTATCGGACGTTTTGAGAACTCTTTATGATACACATAAGTTTTCAACTGTAATCCCTAAAGATAGAACTGAGGAATGAGGATATAGTTCAGAAAAATACTTTATATTTGTGTTATAAACAAACTACAATAGAATAACTATATATATATATATATATATATATATATATATATATAAACATTTAGTATACTGCAGTATAAATAATTGGTAAGCCGTAATAAACTTAAGACAACAGCATAAAGAAAAAACTCAGGTTTATCTGTTGGACAAATTACACAATCGAGCATTTTAGCCGCACGTAAAAGTTGAATAACAATCCACTTATTGTGAGAATAGTTCCGAATCGAATTCATTTATCACAGAAAATTATACAGGATACTTGGAATTATAAGTCGAACAGTAGGCACGTTTACAAAGTGCTTTATGTCCTTCGAGTAGTAAACTCATATACTCTAAATGGATCATATAAGTAGGTTGACTGAAAGACACGAAAATTACAACTAAGAAAATTGTTCACCATTATACATGATAAAATATTTTGGGAGAATACCTATTTATGAAATGGATGATTTTATCGTGAGGCTTTTATTGTTCGTCTGAATAACATTATCATCACAAACTTAAGGCAAAGTATTTCAAGTTCTGTTCGTGGATAAAATCGTCTTCACGTTTCTTTCAAAATATAAATATTTATCTTACTGTACTCCAGAATTGTTTCGTGGTGATCTAATACTGAAAAACAAACAGGAAAACACTAAGACTTTATTTACACATCATCATGTTTATTGAAAGCATAATATTTAGAAAAAGTGGTCTGAGAAAGTTTGACTTTATGTATTCCTCTTAAAGACGCCAAGAAGAAAATCTCATCCTTTTAACTCTTTTGAGATTTTAGTTCTCGGTAGAAACGTAACAAAAAAGAATAATACTTTTTAGGAATTACTGAAAATCCAGACCCAGTGGCGTCATTATAACTCAGTTATAACTTTTATTAGTTTCTTCTTGAGTGATGACAACGATATACTCTCCTAAAAAAGAACTAAATAAAAACGATTTATGTATGAATTACGTGAAGTTAAGTTTAAATTTCAAACCACTTACTGAAATCTTTTTTATTGCTACAAAGTAAGGAATGCTAATATATTAGGTAGAAACTATAAAAAAACAGAGCGAAACCCAATTTTTTTTTGGAATATGAGTTGTGTGTGTTATCAACCTGATATATACCATGAAAAAACAATAAACAGTCAGAAATTTTAAAATTTAAACTTTAACATTTTCACATGATTAGATTCTCTAGCTTTAAATACACAGAGTTCACTTCCGTGTATATCAATATGAAAAATGAAATATTTGCTAGTGTTCTCTGATGCTTTTAATTTCTCTGAATTTGATAGAGTTAAATGTGTGATTAGCTTAATAATGCATAATTTTTTAATGTTCATCTAACATATACAATAAAGAACATGAATAACTTCATTATTGAGAAAGAAAACTTCCAAATTCGTGGTTTCATGTACTTAAACTGTAATGATAAAACATGATGTTGCAGCATTAACAGATACCTCTTATCAAAAAATCTGTATAACAATACAAATGTTGATAAAATTCTCTTTTACAAAAAAAAAATCATGAAGATAACAATCCATCCATTCTAATCAATAATTTTAAATAGTGTCTACTAATGTCTATCATAACAACATTCTGCTTACTTCCCTAATTTGATATATATCTAATTTCTCTTCCGGTCATTTTCCTATTCTCCATTTCATGAAATTCAGTACTACTTAATTATTAAATAAATAAATAAATATTTTTATACTATTTTTATGCATAGAAAATGATGTTTTTTTTCGTTTACAACAGCAATTAAAACTAGATAACTGCTAAACCATTCAGGTTTACTTAATACAACATGATTACTGAAGTAAAATCAACCGCGTGACAAAGCTATTTACACTAGTTTTGAATATGTTTTGTAAATTATTATGTCAATTCACTAGATAATAAAACCTAATGATAATGATATGATAAAAGCACTGAATCAATTATTTAATCTAACTAATCTTATTTTGAATATAATGAACTTCGAGTAGAATGCGATAAATACACATGATTTACTTGATTCTGGTCAGTTGCTTACATACTTGCTTGAATACTTTACATAATAAGTTAAGTTGATCAGAAATAAATAATATCTTATCACATAGTGTAGCAAAGATTCTAATCAAGATAGAAAAAGTGAGACGAAAAACAATGTTTCGACGAATAAACATAGTGAGAGTGAGGAAATTCTAGAATTCATGTTATTCTGTTGAAATTCTTGTTTACGCTCTGATTGAGATTATCAAGAAAAAAAAGGGAATTACGTAGGTGAAAATACACAATAATTTAAGAATCAATAAATATATCTTGATGAAGTTATTTTAATGAAATATTTTTGCACATTAAATTGAGAGAGAGAAAAAAACAAACTTTTTTAACTGATCTACTAGTTGAAACACATTTTAATAATTAATTTTGATTGAATGTAAGGATTGGAAAAGACACCTGAG